TTGTTTTGGTGTTCGCCAAAGCGTGAAAACAAAAGAAATCAGCCCGGCTAACCGGGCCAGCCCGGCTCATGTAAACAGGCCCTATCAGCCTCTATTGGGTTATGCCTCGTTCTTCGAAACCTCCCGACACATGTAAATGAGGATGACCAGAGCGGCCGGGTATTCTGAAGTTACTCCGAAATAACAGCGCGTTCTGTTTTCTCTGTAGCCAAGAGCCATTTCAGTCGCAAAGCTGGACTCACCCGAGTCCTTCGCTGGTTCTCCACAACGCCCGCGATTCCAAGACTAGCGGCTTTCCGGCTAAAAAGAGAAATGCAAAATGGCGTCGGACCCTGGCTTTGTACCGACGGCTGTGAATGTGGAAATTGAAGGCGATATAACTGTGCCTGGTGCCCCGGAGGAAGATGAAGAACCTAGCACTCTAGATGAACCAGTTTCTGTAACTTTAGTGAGTTTTATTTCAAATGATTTCATTCGTATTTGGTGCCGAAAATTCTAGCTCTAGCATGTATGTTTGAGTTCCTGATTGTTGAAAGATCTAGACACCGGTTTAAATAATCTTTCTCGTTTCTTATTTCCTCTTTTCCATATAGAAGCGAGATTTGACGGCAGTTAGCAAGAAATTCCTTCATGTGCTTGTTCCAAGACAAAGTAAAAGCCTGCTACGTGATTGTAAGATGTATTTATATATACGGCTGCTGTTTTTTCACGTATAAACGATCTGATCGTAATATCACTTATCTTCAAGACCATCTAATATTTGACAACGCTTGATAAAGGCTGACTAATAATCATTGGTTGTTCCTTTATTTTCAGGGGATCTATGGGGTCCTTTAATTCTTTGTGTCCTTCTAGCTATGTAAGTAATTTATGCCTTTGAAGACAATTTTCTAGCTAAGTTTACCCTTTTTTCTTCGATTGCAGTCATGCTTTAAATTTTCTTTACAACTAGCGGTCAACGTGTTTATAACGGTCTTTTACTCATAATTTTTAAAATTAAGATGAAATACTACAAACTCGAATCATTGCTACAATCAAAGGTAGATACTGAGTTATATATCTGATTTATTCCGTCCTTTTAGTTACACGCGCATGTTTTTGTTTGCATGTGGCCATACGATATAAGCATACTTGTAACAACTTAAAGTAACCATGGAGTCAATTGGGCTACCTTATGTATACTTCTCCTCGTAGAGATTTCACACTTATGCTGTTACCGTAATTTAACTCTGAAGCAAAAATTAGTCATAAAGCCTTTTTCATTTTTTATTTAAACTATGTCTTGCTAAATAGGCATTCTGAGATGTGTGCAAATAATGTCATGGAAAGTTGAATTTGGTCATATGCTTGATTAATTTGCTGTAGTTCTGTGCACTATTTGATCAGTATTGATTTGCTGAAGCAAGGGCATATAAGAAACCAGGAAAGACTTATTGCTGCTTGACGTTTCGTTTCCAGTCTCTTGATAATGGAGTCATGATGATTCCGAAACATTGAGCAGCAATAAATCTTTCCTGGTTTTTTATTCTGTATACTAAGCATTATAATTGGTTAGCCTGGAAGTGAGTAGCAAGGCATTTAAAGACTGCTTGAAACAAGGTGTCTGTCATATGTTGCTCTGCTTTTTAAGTAAAAAAGCAGGTTTATTTTATGAGACATATACTTTTAATTACAATGTGATGTCAATAAGACCATGTTGTACAGGAAGGAGACTATGTATATTCTAAGACTTTACCAGACTTCTCTTTTAAGTTCTATTTTGTGACTCAGCACACTGGACAGAGGGAGGTGAGCTGAGTACTCTTTATATTCATTGCTATTTCTGTCATTTACTGTTGTCATATCATTTCCATTAAGGATGCTTCAAGGTCACACTGTGGTTGACAGTAACAGTGATGGAGGACCTCAATTTGCTGAGGTGTTTGTGGTGGTCTGGGTTGGAGCTCTGGTTGTCACCGTGAATTCCAAGTTACTGGGTGGAACAATGTATGTACAGGCTAGTATTTGCAATATTCTCACACTGGCCTCTTGAGATACCTTATTATCACTTATTTTTGCAAGACTTAATTTTGCGATTTAGAAGTATTCGCGAAATTAAGGTCCCGCAAAATAATGGTGCTGTGAAAATTAAAGAAGTGAAATTTAGAGACCTTTATAAAATCCCTTATTTAAGCTTTCTGCCTGCTTAGAGTTTACTTATGAGCGGGATGGCTCAAATTTCAGTTCAATGCATGCCCTTACATGTATTCCTCATCATCTCACTCATCTTGGTTGTATCAGCCCTTTTAAAAGATGTTATTAAGTTGCTGACATTGTTGAACATTTCCGCCAGTTGTTTGTTGCGTTTGAAGTTTCTATCTGTTATGGTTAAATAGAATACAGAAATGGAAGTTTAAAAAACAAGCACCAGTACTTGATTCGCGAAATTTAATTTGAAAAACGGTGATTCGTCAAAATCACAAATTTTAAGTCCCACGAAGTATTTTTATTCCAAACACACGAAATTAAAGTCATACAAAAATAAGTGATAATAAGGTATAAGATTGAAAATCAAAGAACAAAGGCTGAAATTCATATTTAGGTAGAGAGGCACTCCCTGGTTAAAAGCTTTTTTCATAAAAAACGGTTTTTGGTTTTTTGACTTAAGCCTTTCAAAACTGCTATAAAAGGCTTTATAGACCAAACACTGAAAGAGGAAATTTTGAAACATGGAATGACTTCATATGCAAATATGAATTATCACCCTGGTCACTGTTCTTTTTTTTTATTTTGGATGTTGATAATCTAAGGGCATTGAAAGTGATGTTCATTAGTCTGAATATATATATCTTATTGACCAAGTGCGAGGGCCATACTGGGAGAATATTGGCCCGAGGTCTTGACAGTATGGACCAAGCGCAGCGAGGTCCATACAAAAAAGACCGAGGGCTGATATTCTTCTAGTACGGTCCGGAGCAAGCTTGGTTAATGAGAGATTTATTATACGACTGAAGTTCAAAGGGACACAAGTGTGGTTTCATTCGGGACCATTCGGGACCATTCGGGACAGTGCCCAGTCCAATACTTAGAGAATATTGGACCAGCAATAGAGCATTTTGATTGGTTGATTTTAGTTATTGACCCTCTGACTGCCCGAGTCGTGTAATAAATATGTTTTAACCATACCTTGTTTCTAAATGAGGCAAAGCCTATACGGTAAAACCCCTCCACAACAAACACTTTTAAATAGTAACAGTGAAAGTGGCTTTCATAGGGAAGTGGCTATAGTACAGAGATATACTGTACTTGTGTATTACGATACCTGTATTTTTTACTCTCATTTTTTCGTCCAGTTATGATAGAGTATTTCAGTTAAAAAAGAGTTTAAGCAAAGCAAAAAAATGCTAATTATGGACTAATAATCTGAAACACATTATACATCAAAAATTGATGTGAGTCTATCAATTTTGGAATGTTTGCTTGTAGTGAGGCCTTTTTTTGGCTGTTTGAGTGAACTTTTACATATATGTTTCTACACTGTTCATCAAATATTAGTGATTTAGAACTGGAAATTAGAGAGGATATTTTGTTTGTCTGGGGATAATCTAGTTACTATTACTAGTTGTGGACAGGTGGCTTTATGGTTACTCAAGATGCTGTGGAAGGAGTCATGATTAAGAAACTCCATAGCAAATCTAGAAAACTTTGAAATAGGTGTGCCCTGAAAAAAAAAACAAACAAACAATAAAACAAAAACCAATGAAAACAATAATTCTCATCCTCAGAATTTGCTATACTTTCTGCTGAAATTTTATCAAAAGCCATATCAATGATATTAATATTCTTTGTTCTTATTTTTTCAGATCCTTTTTCCAGAGTGTTTGTGTTCTAGGATATTGTATTCTTCCCTTGGATATAGCACTAACAGTCTGTCGGTTGATTTTAATTACAAAGCAAACACTGGCATTATTTGCTGTCAGATTCATTGTTGTCCTATTAGGATTTGCTTGGTCAACATTTGGTGAGTAAGGTGCTATTGTTATTTTGGAGAAATTATTTCCTCTGTAACTTACTATGTAGGCGTGAGTAGTCCAGTGGTCAGTGCGCTGGACTCTGGGTTAGATGGCCCGGGTTCAAGTCCTGGCTGGGGCTTGACGTTGTGTCCTTAAGCAAGACATTTCACTCACATTGCTTTGTCTTCTCGGATAGGACATAAAGCTGGAGGTCCCGTCTCTTGCACCTATCAATTAGTTAATTTTGGCAGGGGACGTTAAAGAACCCACATCACGAGATTACTGTGATGTGGTCTGGTCTGTTTACTGGGAATGGGGGGAGGGGGGCATCTGTAAAATTTCTTCTTTAATTGTTGTAAACTGCCGCCGGCAGTCTGGAAAAGTCCCTCGCACAGTGTTGTAAAGCACATTAAAGCATTTACGTGGAAATTTGCTATAGAAATTGATCTATATTATTATTATTATTATTATTATTATTATTATTATTATTATTAGTGGTACTTTGCCAGTGATCCCTTTAAGTTCCAAGATCTGATTGTTAATTCTCCCCTCTAGCTGCTACACATTTCCCTGTAAGTAAGTTATAGGAATTTGGTTTTGAATCAAGATAACAACTTCTACCTGATAAGTTTTGAATATTCTCATTAACTGTTTGCTGGATGATGTCTAAATATATTAGGGAGAAGTTACATATCAATCATTTCTGGTAGTTTAAGGGTTTTAAGGTCTTTCAGCCCTTTACTTCTTCACATCAGTATGCAAGTTCTCCATACAGTTCCCTTTACATTTCAAGGAGAATTTTTCTTTAGAACAATCAAGAGCTTCTTGAGTTTGTGAGCATTTCCTTAAAAGGTACTAAGTATGCTTGGCTCTCTATAGGAACATCTCTAATGGAGGTTAATGTTCTTGTACAAGAGCATCAGCTTTTTGACAGGGATTGTAGGCGTTAGTGCAAATGTTTTGAACAACAACTTCGTTCTATTTCTGTGTTCCCTTTATTAACTCCACTCTTTTATTGTTTTGGTTCTGTGTTGTTTCATTTTTCTTTTGTCTTTGTTCTCTTTTTTTTTTTTTCGCTATCCCTATTTATTTTCCCCCATACTCTGTGAGTGATGAAAGATTTGACCCAAACGAATCAGAATTTCAAAGCAAAACCCAAATGATTTGAGTCCTTGCCACAGTTCTGATGAAAATTTGTTACCCTCCCCATTCATAATATGCATTAATTTTACAAAGTATTAAATAACAACCCATTTCTGCCTAAATTTTTAAGAAAACTGAGATTTTTTTTTTCCACTTTTTTGCCACTTTGCATCGCTTTGCAAACTGACCATTCGAACATCAAACTATAAACACGAGTAATAATTATAGAGATCTCTTTGGACCCTGAAAGGTGTTTAACACCTTTGATATGAACTCATCTGTAACGTGTCATTCACCAACACGCCAATATTGTCACGAAATCTTCCTCTTAGAACTACACTGATAGAAATCAAGTTATTCATACAATTTCTTATTACTGGTGCACACAAGTAAATCGCATTCGTTACACTGATTCTGTTCTTGTGGTCACGAAGCCGGCGCCTGTCGATCAGATTGTGGTGCGAGTTGACTGTCTCGATGCGTTTCTTCTGGTTTTTGAATCGCCGGGCACGCTACCTCATCGCAGGCAATATATTCTCTAGAGGGTTCGCTGCAAGGTTTTCCGCCATCGCTTGGCCTTGGATTTGTACATGTCCTTGTTCTGATCCTAGTTCCTTTTCCACACGTTACGGAACATGGTCCGTATTCGGTCCATTCCGTGTAACCGCCGTCGACTGCACATGGATCGCCACATTGGGTATATTCCTCGGCAGGGTCCGTACAAGGCTTTCCACCATTGCTCGGCGGCGGATTTGAGCAGGTCCTCTTTCTAGTCTTAATTCCCTTTCCACACGTGACAGAGCACGGCCCGTACTCACTCCACTGCGTGAATCCGCCATCAACCGGACACTCGTGAGTATTACAGAGTTGTTCTTCCCGCGGTGGTCCTTCGCAGGGTTTTCCTCCGAAAACCGCCGGTGGATTGTTGCATTGCCTAGTTCTAAATTGCTTTCCTCCGCCACACGATCTATCGCATGCCGAAAAACCGCTCCAATCGCTGAATTTTCCGTCGATGGCACATATTTTCAAAAAGCAAGGCTTTTTGTCTTTGTCCGGGCCGAAACGATAACAATCTTTTCCGTATCTCCCAGGAGACGGTTGAGCACAAGTTCGATATCGTGTTTGAAATCCCTCACCGCAGTCTTTCGAGCAGTTACTCCATGCAGACCACTCTGTATAGCCTCCGTCCATAGTGGCCTCAAGAAACGAGTAATATCCACCAAACGTTACACAACACAGAACCACCGAAAGCCCAAGCGTTGGTAGAAGCCTTCTAGAACACATGATCGTGTAATATTTTGATTTTAAGCTCTATTTCCTTACGAACCTTTACATAATAACAACTTTCATCGAGTCCTCGTAACATAGAATTAACCAACCGTGTCATTGTTGGTTCCTTATTGTTATTGGTGAAAAATATGCATTATTCACACGTGGCACGCGACATCTTGTTAAGCATAAATTATTTTCTCCCAAGTTTCTCATCGTTAAAGCATAGTTGGTAGAGGGCACTAACTATGGTTAAAGAGTCGCAATTTTAGCTTCGGTGCGACATTTTCCTTTTCGAAGATAAAAGGTCAAGAGTCTAAGGACTTCATTCCGAAGAATAAGTACGAAACGATAGATCATATGTCAACTTCTAGCGGCAGCGTTGAATAAAAAGTAAATGCGTTGAATAAAAAGTAAATACGTTGTAAAATTCCATGCGAATATTACGTCGTTGCTTAGAGTCCTGCAAGTCAAATACAACTGGAAAATGAAATCATTCTGGTCTATCAGTGTGAAGAGGCTCGGAATTCATAAGCAGCGAGAAGTCCACTTTTTACGGACTGTATTTTTTTTTTCTTTCCATTTATTTATCTCGTTTACGATTAATTTACAATTTTGGTTGTTTCGGTGTTTTCTTCAATAGTAATACAGTATTTTCTCTGATGTTGTTGTCCTTTCGGCGAACGAGTTAGTTGTGCGTGGTTGGGAGGTTGGCCAGAATTCAAGGCTTTACAGAGGTGCAAACGAGCAAGATGATAAACATGTCTCATCTATTTTTATATTTCTCTTTCCTTTACAGCTTCTGTGAAGTTCCTTGGTGACAGCCAGCCGGCTAACAGGAAAGCACTTGCAGTTTATCCAATATTCTTGTTTTACTTTGTCATCAGTTGGATGATTATTTCCCATTCGGGCTGAATACACGAAGCATAATGCTTTCTAACGAGTTGGCAAACCTCCCAGTCGAAGGTAGACAGAGTACCCCCTGCTCTAAGCAGAAGTATTGTAAGAAGTGCCGGAGGGTTTGGGGGCTGTCATGTGGGCAAAGAGTATTTCCTGACCCGAGCAAACGAAGGCGAGTAGGAAAAGCTGTGCAAGGTTGTTCAAAGCTGGTTCCGATATGTCGCTCGTTATCTAGAGGGGTGTGACTCTTGTCTTTCTAGTCTCTTTACCGCTATTTGTCACCAGTTCTACGGTGTATTGTTATATTCGTTTGGATTGTGACGCAGTCATATTACTGCAGGATGAACCAACGTAACGCTTACCCAAAGATTTTGCATTAGTTTTGTTTATAACCTTTTCGGTCAGAAACTCGTCTCTTAAAATAATCTTAAGTTATACAAGAAGCATGTTAACTGAACGGTAATATTTGATGTATACACTCAGTATGAAAATTTTTTAGGAGTTGCTCCGATGACGATTACTGTCCAGTCTTATCCCTTTGCATTCAATAACAGGAATTTTTGTTTCAAAAATGATCATAGTGACTCGTCATGACAGCGTTATTTTATAGAGTAGAAAAAAAGTACTTACGGTGAATTTGAAATCGATATCCCTTTTTTTGTCCTTTGGACAGAGCAAGTGCTTGCGATCGGACTTCTCTCTTTTCTTAGGTACATTTACAAGGTCTATGAAACATTAACGAATTTAGAATGTTAAGAAAATAAAAGAAACCGAACGAAACGAAAAAAACGACAAAAAAAATGTTATGAAATATTTAATCAATTGAGCAAGTCAAACGTTAAGAAACTGTTGGAAGTTGTTTCACGAACAAGAATATTGTGACAATTAAAGAATGAAGATTTTTACTGACTTTAAAAGTACGAAGCCCTATGTAGTGCATAACCGAAATAAAACACTGCTACATTGTTATTCGAGTTATCAGTTGTCATGAGAAGAACGGGCTCCATAAATAGCCGATAGTCATAAAGTTAGCCCAGGCTTCTATCTTTTTTCTCTTGAGGAAAAACAAAGAACTCGGGCAAGCGGCAGAGATCAAGGCTATACAAGAAACAGCCCCCCTCCCCCCCAGAATTACCTTCAAGATTGGTTTTGGGTGGGGCGGGTAGAGGATTGCTTCAAGACTCCCACAAAGCAGTCACTTGTGTAGACAGGTTCATTCATTGAAAGTGGATATGCCTTCTCCGAACGTTTCCACAATTTCGTTTTAACTCGTCTCCAAAAAAGGTGATTGATGAGGCCAGAATGTTGTGAGTAAAGTAATGGAATGAACCGTTCTAGCTGCCCATTCCTTATTTCTCTCTTGGATTAGGATTTCTTGGCTTTGGGACGACAAAAGGAAGAATAGGTACCCGATGGGTACACGAGTCGATGGTGCTCTATGGTTTAACACTGGGTCTCAAATACCCTCTTACAAGGCTCAAATATCCTCTTACGAGGCCCATTTCTCTGTAAGTGGACTTTGTTAAGCGCCGCTTTTAGTTGAAAAGGTGGGAGCAATCGAGGGTGCTATGACCAGTGGTACGGTCATGACATGTTACCAACTAGGCATAGCTATATGTAAATTGGTCAATGAATGCTGTGATAAAGGTAGGGATTGTGCAACTAAAATCAACTTTATCTCTTCCCTGAAAGCATCCATATGTAAACGATGCAATCAAACGTAATAGTCAAAGTGGCTGTGGACTCTGAAGGGGTGAAATATTGAGGCCAGTGTATTTCAGTGTAACTTGGTATTTTCAAACTTTTGGTCCACTCCCCGAAAGCCCATCGTCAGTTTTAAATTAAATTTGCTCACTTGACGCAATGGACTGTTCTTCTACCCGCAGGCGAAAGGTCGTGGAATCGACTCCAGGCAATAATTTCGTTGCTATTGTTAACGAGTTCACAAGTTTACACAACAGAATTGTACTTGTATCTTACTTTCTTGACTACGAACTTGTCCTTAGCAATAATCGACATTTGCTCGCACACTTGTGCGGGAGATATTTCGAAAGGATGAATATGTGGACGTGTACGAATCATCCAGTTGTTCGGGTACGAAGCGATTCAAACTGGATACGAATCGTCTGAACTTGGGTACGAATGGACTGGGTCCGAAACGACCGTGAATACGGAACGAGTGGATACCTTTCGGATGCTTCTGGGAATAAATAACCAAATTGAAAATTTTGTGCCGAGCGATGGTTGCTGCCTTTTATTATTGTGACAATAGTTTCCGCTGGTAATTTGGCAATGTTCAGAATTATTTTTTCCGAAAGTAAATTAGTCAAGCCTTGTTCACGTCTTCGCAAGGCTTTTACATACACGATATAATGCACACGAGTATAGAAACGTACAAAAAGGTATATAATCCTTGCACTAACACGATAGGATACAACACAGCAATCTAGTACAATGACTTGACACAGTGAGCTGTTGGGTTTTAAAAGAGAGGGATAGTGCATTACCTAAACAGTTCCTGTATCAATGAGGTTAAAAAAGAAAGTAAGACTCCTTTCTCCTTATAACATTGCTTTTGTTATCGTCCACCTCTCTCATTGGAGAAATTAGGTTTCTTTCAAGTCCTTTGGCGTTCATTCCTCGTTGTTTTTTATTAATCTTTGGTTGGCCTTTAAATGTTCTCGTCCTTCTTTCCAATTTTTCTTCAAAATTTGATCCCTTGCGACTCATCAAATTGACAGTGGTTTAGCGTGGTCTGTGCTCTTATCGATTCCTCATCACAGTGGTCAAAACGTTGTGGACTCGCGGGGCGTAGCCGAGTACAGACC